GCCTTAATTATGTAATATAGCTATGCTAATTGGTTGACTATGTTTAGTCAAAGTCCTTTACAACGACCGCATTAGATTGGCACTTTTGAGCCGGTATATAGGGAGTTTTTAAATAGTTAAAAATCGGGATATCAATCCGGAAAAGTGAGTTATAAATAACAACGACCAAGACAGGGACGATGTGCATAATTCCGGCCATAAATCACGTGTAATATATGATCATTCTAAAATCATGTGACATATAACCGAAATCAAACTAAATTTGGGGATACGATAAAGCGTTGTACCTTCAGGTAATCCATTCAATGAGGATGCGCAAATTTTGATCAACCCGGCAAAACAAATCCGGCACAAGAAAATTAAAAAGGCGAATAATGTGAAAAATACGGAAAACGAATGTGCAAATCTAGCTTGAAAGTCTAATTAAAAATGTCGGGAAGACAATTTTACATATAACCTTTACCCTAACCCTTATCCTGACCTTATAAAGCATTGACCGGTGATTGATCACGTGGGTACAACGCTTTATCATGTCCCTAAATTTGGTAAAGTAAACGGGAAATTTACGGACAGTGTTTAGGGACAGTGCATGATCACGTGGATGTGATCACGGAAAATTGACGTTAAAGAGCTGAAGATAAGGTTATATGTAACATTGCTTTTCCGACATTTTTTTATTAGTACTTCAACTTCAAGCTAGATTTTGACATTTTTTTCCAAATTTTTCACATTTTTTATTTTCTTGTGTCGAAATCCACGTGATTCAGCGCTGTCCGTAGAATTCCCGTTTGGTAAATCATCGTCTACAATGTGACTTGTGAATGATTGACTAGACTGATTTTTAATTCTTTCTCTTTCTTTATTCATGAATTCAATTTCTGTTTGTGTGTATGCTTCCCGTTATAAACGAAAAGCAGGGGTTAGATCAATTCTATTTGATTAGCATGGAAAAGATGTCGCACATTATATTTTTTTTTTGGAAAACTCGACCCTATTTAGAAAGTGGTAAAGTAGATAGACATAGCATTCAGTCATTGTGTGTAATAAATAAAAATGAATAAAAGCGATAGGATAGGTTTGAAAAATACGTTTCACCATTTCCTATTTTCCTAATCTTGTCTTCCGTGTGGATTCTTATACCTGTTTATTTACTTAACATACAGAGAACTCCTCATTCATTTATCATTGTATGTTATAATGTTATTTGATCTCGGTAAATTCTGAAATCAAGATGAAATTTCGCCACCGCGTTTTTTAATTTAATGATTTGGTGAGTAAATCAGCTTTCTTGTGTATCTTAATTTTACTTTGCAAGGAAATCAACCATTCTTTTTTCGTAAGGTGGGTATTACGATATATAACAAAAGTGACGTCTTGTCGGGTTTTTTTCATTTTTGGAATATATAACGATAAATAATACAGATAATATATATGTATTTGATTAATGATGATGTATAAATATCTTGAACTGGTTACATTCATTGTTCACATTCTTTTCCTTTAACCATCATCATCATTTTTATCATCGATGTTGTTGACTCCCTTGTCCAGTTAACCAACTATTAACCAACAACCCCCTCATTTTTAAAACGCCCTTTCCATTTCTTATTTCCCATCAAAGAAACACATCAATAAAGTCGGTCGGTCGGTCAGTCAGTCAGTCAGTCAGTCAGTGCCCTCTTTATCACCTCTTTTCTCTTTATCTTGTATATATTATTATCGTTATAATAAAAATAATAATCATAATCACCTAAAATATAAAAAATTATTCGAATGATTTCGAGTTTAATATCCTGAACATAATAACAATAATAATACTAATACTAATAATAATAAGATTAATAAATAGTATTTCACTAACTCGTTATTTTCTCATCTTGTTTTTACTCTCTTGAATCTAGTCTATATACTTATTTATAACCATAGACATAACTCATACATAATAACACACGAGTACAGATGAATAATTTACCAACGGAACTACTGCACGCCGTCTTCTCATTACTAGCTAATGATCAAAAGACAATATCGCAAGTGGCACTAGTATGTAGACAATGGCACGCCATCGCGCGTCCTCTATTATATAGACATCCACAAATTTATAGTCTTCAAGCTTTTCATAAATTTCTAAAAATACCAAAATTTTCTGGACTTTTAGTTCGTGAGATCGATCTCTCATTATTACCACATCGTTGGTCAAACATAACTGATCCGGACATTATCTCTTTGATTTCCCTTTGTCCAAATTTAACATTTCTCGATATCAACTATTGCGCACAACTCCACGATGCCACGTTGAAACATATCGCCCGTACGTTAGGTCCGCGCCTAACAAACTTGAATGTGTCACAGTGTCCTAAATTCACCGATATGGGATTCATGGCATTGGCAGCGGAGTGCAGTGCGCTCACCACGTTGAACTTCTCCTATACTGACATAACTGATCTGGCATTATCACAAATTGCAACAACGTGTCCAACTATTCGATGGTTGAATTTGAGGTGTTGTGAGTTGGTAACCGATTTAAGTTTATCCGAACTTAGAAAATGGTGTAAAGATTTAAGGGTGGAATTGATCGGGTGTTGGGGTGTTGTAATGGAAGACATTGAAGTAGAATATGATGGTTGGGTGACCGACGAGGACGATGACGAAGAAGAGGAGGAGGAGGAGGAGGAAAATAATAACAATATAGATTATATGGACGATGATGATGCATAATGCACAATTATATGCGTATTCTTACGTGGGATAATAATAATAATAATAATAAGGATAATCATGCACAATCATTTTATAGAGAGACTCTAATATAGAGAGAAATGGGAAAAATGGGACTATTAGAGATGTGGGTGAAGTGTTAAATAATTGGGTATAATAAATAATAGAAAAATACAATTATAATATTAAAACATTATGATAATTAAAAATCAATAATGTTAAAATAGTAATAATTACAATACTATACTTTAATATTATAATACGGAAGGTGATTGATTTATGGTTGTATGGATGGATGGTTGGTTGGTTGGTTGGTTGATTGATTGATTGATTGATTGATTGATTGAATTATTTATTAATTGATCAATTGAGGGGAAATCTAAGAGACAATAGTCGTTAATTATTTTCCTCTATTTTTTCTATTTTGCTTTTTTATTTGTTCGAAAAAGACTTTTGGCTATTTTTAATGAATTGATCAGGTACATTACAGTACATTATATTGATGGTTTTTTTTCGTTATCTTTAATTTAATGATTTAATTGAGTATTCCTCTCCTATTAAAATACGCGTGTACACGCGCGTATTTATCAATAATAAAAAAATCACTTTAATATTAAATAAAAAAAATCAATTCAAAAAAGAAAAATCTAAACTTATATGCATCATCATTTATGTATTTTATTTATTCATGTATTTCTTTTTTTACGTATACACACATACATTTATATATTTAACATCTTTCTCAAATCAAGTTTCTTTTTTCTCACGCATTTTATTCATACACATGTATACATATCAGACCAACAAAATAAGTTAATCATCAATAACCTAATTACGATGTCAAAACTGCCGGAAATTCATTAAAGCTAACTTCTAACACAACCATGTAAACGACCACAACAGCAATATCGAAAAAATAATACATGATAAAAATTTTCGTGAGCAGGTAATTAATTTCTTTTCTTATGATTTGATTATCTTGATGATTTTATGCTTGTAATGATTCAATTTTTTTTGTTATCAGTACAGGATGATCTGTTGCTTGTTTTCTCATAGTTAACAAGATGATACGGATATTGTAGATGCAAGATTATATGTGGGATTGGTAGGTTTTCTTCCTAGATTATCTTTACACCTCACTTATTTATCATCATACCTATCACAGAAACACGTGATTAAAAGTAACAACAGAAGAGAATAATTATAACTGACAACACATTTAATAAGAGGTCATAAAGGGTCACATTTTCGGCTTCGTTCTCTAATTTCTTTATTATGTTATTTCGCTACGTTTATCATTTAGTAAATTCAAAAAAGATCCAAGTGTTTCCATCATATTACAATTATCGATGATAATGATAAATATTATTCAATCACTAAAAAAATCAGTAAGTCTACATAAATCACATTAATCGAAAAAAGAGAAATCAATCCAACCTTTTCATGACGATTTTAATCCTGCACTCACCATTAATTTATATTGTCTTCTAGTTATTGTTATTCTATTAACGCAATCTTCTAGCTTCACGTTCAGACTCGAGTAAACACAAGATATCACCTTCACGCACAGGTCCTTTGACGTTTCGGATAATTGATCGTTGTTGATCGTCCATAAAGTCAACGCGAACTTGTGTGACACCTCCACGGGAACCAGTGCGACCAAGTACTTTTGATACTTTGGCAAGTTTTACGGGTTGTTTTGTATCCTAATTTTGTTGACGAATAGATGAACGTTTAGGTTTGAAATTAAATTTAAGGTCAAAGCTGTAATTGACGAAACTCAAGAACCTTACCATTACTTTTAAATTATTGATGAAATTGTGCCTGAGTTTAGTATGCGAGAATGCAAGTTCAATGAGATTCCTTCAAAGAGAAGCAGAACTCGGTTATGAAAAATTTTTCATTAAATCATGTGCAAAGGCTAGAAATTTTTATATAAAAATTATGCTTAATTTTGACCAGCATTATAAATCAATTATGTAGATCATTCCGAATTATGGATAATAAAAAAGTACAAATTCAAATTTGGAAGACTAAATTGAGCTCAAATTTACGTCATTAATATTCGAGTTACTACTTATTTACGTCATGACTTATAATCTAACGGTTGCGAAGGATTTACACATACGTAATTAAAAATATCGGAATCAAATCATTTTAAGAAATAAATATTATATATAGAGTAGAGTTGAAAAAGCATCCTTATTTCTCAAGAAACCAACATTCTAAAAAAAATGATCAATTTGCATCTTTCAATTTTTCTTATTTTCTTCACGATCATAATGATAACACTTTTAACGCCTAAAAACTGTAACAATGAATTTTCTTTACTTTCACCCAAATTATCATCACCAAAAGAAGACCATGGACTTAACTTTATGGTTAACAAGATCCGTCAGAACAAATTTACACCAATAACTCACTTCAAATTTACAGACTGTGGCACACCAGAGGATATTCTACAAGTCCTCAGTCTGAAAATGATTCCGGAATCGCCCATTATCGGCGAACTAGTAACAATCACAATAGCCGGGCAATTGACTGAGGATGTCGAGGAAGGAAGTGTTGTCAAAATAAAGGTATCACGTGATACAGAAAAGCTGTATGATGGTGAATTGGATTTGTGTACAGAGTTTTTAGACGTGCGCTGTCCATTGGTCAAAGGTCCTATCGAGATTAAACATAGTTTCGTGGTACCTACTGATGTTCCGGCGGGACGTTATTTTATAAACGCTCATCTCCTTACAAACGATAGTCGTCCAATTGCATGTCTTGATGTCGAGACAATTCTTCGTGAAAAACATTTCTTTCGTAGGATATATTCTATATATTAATCAATTCGAATATTTGTATTGAATTTATCTCTAAATTTTATGTGCTCGCGATTAATGTAAATTTGGAATATTTTTTAATAAATTACTTTAACGAAAATATAATGTATGATGTGAGCTTTGTTAATTTTATTTTGTCTTTCATTAATATTAATACGATGCTACAGTATAATAAATGAAAGTAGTATTTAACATTTTTGCTATCGTTATTGGGCTTTTAAAGCTACGTATATGATCGACCAATTAATATTTCATAGCTTGCGATTTGATTGGTGTCATATCGATAATTTGAAATATAGAACAAAAATTTCCATTTATTCTCCAGCAAATTCTGATAATTGGGCAACTTTAATTAAAAATAATTAAAAAAAATCATTGAAGAAAAGTCTGTTGTATGATCAATTATTTACATTATTTCTTTATTATTTTTCCGTATCTAGAATTTCGTACAATCAATACTAACGATAATACATATCGATATATAATCAGCTAAAACCTCAAGGAGAGTTGACTGTATTCTTCTGGTTATAAGCAACACTTTTCTGTGGTGATTTTAAATATCTCTCTCTTTTATTCATAACTGATGTTAAAAGAAACAATGTTAGAAAAATCTTTCTTTAACTTTCTTTTCTTCCTTACTTGTTTATTCCCTGCCGTATCAGCAAGATTGCCACTTTCTGATATGTTTAATTTTGAAACAAAGGAATACATTCCTTACATAGTTGTCACTACCATTCTTCTATTCGCGATGATTCCGATACATAAACTTAAAAAGCTCAGGCAAATAATCAATATAGCCTTTGAAATATTCATAATACTCATTTTTCCACCTCTATTCTTTTATGCGAGAGAAGGTTTCAGCGCGGCTACAATAACTTTTATAGTTCTCAGTTGTGCAATGACAATATATCTGATAATAGTACTGCTAATTCCCATATATAAAGGAAATTTCAAATCAAATTCAATATTTTACTATATCTTCTTACCAGGTAGTAATCTCATGGCAGTAATATTAGCTTTATTATGTTTGGCATATATTAGTATGGTTATTTATATATTTGTGATTTTCTTCAAGTCTGATTTCGATGTTAAGTTTTATATTCCACTTTTCGTAATTACTTTTGTATTAGTATGTTGTATGGGTGGTTGTCAAGGTACAATGGCAATAGTCTGTTTTATAATATTTAACATTTTAGCTGGAATAAGTTTCTATTATGTGCATTATACGTTACTAAAGGAAGTCAACAGAATTTCACTTTTACTTTTCTGGCTAGATTTATGGTCTACATCGTTTTGTATTTATACTAATATTGAAAGTCATATTGAATTTACAAGAAAATTGGAAAAGGGAGAAGAAATAGAATTTGGTAATTACTAGATTATATTATTATTCTATTCTATTCTATTCTATTCTATTCTATTCTATTCTATTCTATTCTATTCTATTCTATTCTATTCTATTCTA